TAACTAGAAGCGCTACTTCCAATTCTGAACTCCAAGCCAGAGAGGGATATGAAGATTTTGGTCAAGGTCAGAAGAGAACCATATAGAATCATATATTTTTAACTATTAGAAGTAAAAGTTCTGAGATTTCTTAGTCCAGAAATGGGCAGGCTGAGGAGAGATCTGTTAATGGTCTTTAACTCAAAAGTTAAAAGTGAGTGACCACAAGTTCTTCAATTCATAAATTAGAGAGTGAAAGGAAAGAAATTTGGATTTGTCATAACTGTTTCTTAAGGCTAGTAATTTAGTTGTCATAAGAAAATATTTCATAACAATGTGAGTTGTTCAAAATGAGCCTACTGGGATGGATTTTAAATGTAAATTTTCTCTTATTTCATCTTATTTTAAGATTATTTTAAAATCATACAGCCTTAAGTTGTGGGCATGTGGAATGTAATCATTCATTCGTTCAACAATTATATATTAAATGCCAACCTTATACCAGGAACCATTCCGGATCCAGCAGTGACCTGATAAACTCCCTGTCATCATGATGTTTAATTCTAGAAGGGGGAGACAGGTCACACACACACGCACACACACACACACACACACATCCCTCATACCATATGAAATAGCAATAATGTCTATCAGCAATGCAAGATAAAGAAAGAAATATGACTGATACTATCTTAGGATGACTGCTAAAGGGCTCTCTACAAAATCTTTAAAAAAAGACTTGGATAATTCAATAATAATAGCCAACATTTAGTTAGCCAGACTTGAGCGAAACTCTGCCTCATTGAATCTTTATAATGACTTATTTTACAAAGGAGTAAGCTGAGGCCCAGAAAGGTTAAGTAACTTGCCCAATAACTTAGGACTTACAAACTCTGGTTTAGTTTTGCTTTTCTCTAAAAGCTATAAAATGTTAACTTTAATAATTAAAGCTGAGGCTTGGCTTAGTAAAGCATTTATTTATTTATTTATTTTTAGCAAATAGTACATAGAAAATAAGTGAGTTCTACAAGAACCCCCATGTGCCTGTGCAGTCCTGAGTACATCTCCTCTTGGTTCTGAGGTGTTAAAAAATGGTCACTTTGCTAATATCAGTGAAAGCCAGAAAGCAGGTGTCTACTGAGCAGCCAAGAAGGGATTGTAGTCTCTTGGACAGGTAGAGCAGTTGGCCATTACTAGCAGCATGGACAGTCACAGCATGTGAAGTCATAGAGGGACTCGGGGGCACTGGCACAGGCACACATGTGGATAGAGGCTGGGGAGCTTGCAGAAGTTCTCATCTAGTGGCTTTTACTTCCTCAGAGAGTGAGAATGGGAAGGGATAATAAAAATGAAAACCTTTCATTTATAAGAATGGATGTGTATTCCTTAAGATGATGTAATGATCTTCCTCATTCCAAAATTCTTCATATACTTAGCAGAAAACTATGAGAGGGAGGTAGATAAGAAAGTGTATCAACTGAAAGGCCAAGTGATAAATAGGTGAATGACATTAGTCTCAGGCAAGGGGTGTGAGGCCAGAGAAGAGAGTGCTTGATTCCGCCTGAGTCAAAGAGGGTTTCACAGAGCTTGGACAGGTGTGTTCTACACACTTAATATTTTATTTAGCCCCATGAAAGGCAGGTATTATTGTCCATACTTTTCAGTAAGATACTAAGGTATGAGCTCAAACAGCTAGTGTGTTGTGTGGATAAACTTCCCTAGTCTGACCCCAGCAGCTGTTCTTTCCATTTCTTCCTCAATCTTTACCTTTCCAGTCATTTATCATCACAATTTAAAAACTGCCTTCATAACTTTCTGTTTGTCATTTTGTGGTTATGTGCCAGATAAATACAGGATTTCACCCAAGTTGGACATTTTGATTGATTTCAACCAATATGCCTGTTAGTCACTAGCAAGTCCACAGCTAAAACCTTGGAGAGTGTGATTTAACTGGTCTTGATTGGAGCACAGGCATCTGTGTGTAGAATCATTCACAGGTGATTCTATTGTGTGGCTGTGAGTGAGCTCCACTGGCTTAGGTGAAAGAGAAGAATTGAAAAAGTCTAACTTACAATACTATTTGTGATACCTGCAATATTGTTGCTCTGAGTTAAGAATTTTCTCTCTTAAAAGGTACATTGTTTTTTGGATTGAAGCAACATGTTAAATCTCTACAAAGATCTTTTCCTGTGATGAGATCTTCAGGAGGGGCCATGGTTGAACAGAAAACCAAGAATTTGCTCTGTAACTGGTTAAATCATGTGACATGAATTTGAATACTTATCAATATAATTTAATAATTGTGTCCAAGACCAAACCAACTGCTAAATTGACCTAATGATATTCCTAAATTAACTTCAAATCCTACTTTGGCTAATAAAGTTCAAAAATGGCTAGACTATAAGCTCCAAGAAGGCCAGAATTCTACCTTGATGTATACATAGCACCTAGCACAGTACTTAAAACCTAGAAGTGATTCATTGAATGAGTGAAATTTATCAAATGACTTTATCAATGTGAAATTATTTTCCACTAAATAGCAAACAGGCTTAGCCATTGATTAACATACTCGTATAGAACACTCAAATTGTCACTTCAATGTATTTTTCTCATTTCCCCAGTCAGTGATATTTAGTTTTTTTCAATTTCTTTGCCATTGAAAGCAATACTGCAAAAACCATCTTTGTAGGTATTTGCCTGTACAACTGTACAGGAGTTTCTCTGGAATATATTCATAGGAGTAGAACTGCTGGGTTGAAAATATGTGCTCTTCAAAGATATATATGTAGTTAATTAGCTTTACAATTTCATATAATCTAAATACAGTCACATATCACTTAAGAGAAGAGATTATGCTCTGAGAAATCCATCATCTGGCAATTTTGTCCTGTGTGAACATCTAAAGTGTAGTTATGCAAACTGAGATAGTATAGGCTAGTCATGGACATGACCCTCTGTTGCAGTGAAAAGACACATGAGGCTGCTGCCAGGGTGATAGAGCATGTTTTTTGACAGTACCATTTTTATTTACATATGTATCAGTAAAAGAATTACTCTCTAAAATAATTATAGAAATACAGTTATGAAAACACACGAAGCAGTAACATAGTTGTTTATTTCCATTATCAAGTATTATGTAGCATACATAATTACATGTGCTGTTCTTTCATGTGACCCGCAGTGCATATACAAATTTTGCATCAGCATTGCCACAAACTCATAAGTAGTGCCTGTGCTATGACGAGATCATGGCTACCAACTCATTAGTCAACAGGAATTTTCAGCTCCATTATAATTTTATGGGACCACCCTCATATATGCAGGTCATTGTTAACTGAAGTGTCATATGTGGCATGTGACAGTAAGACACAAAAAGCAAAACCTACAGGAGAACATTATTGATCTGACTTAAAATGTAAAAGTTCCAGATGACAAAAGATACAACAAATAAAGCTAAAATACACCGGGGCCCTTTTTATTCCTTCCCAGTACATATAAAATATATAACAGACACAAAGACCTGAGTTTGCCTTTTGTAATCAGTTCATAAAAATGGTTGCAAGAAAACTGAGGTCCCCTTTTCTTGTCTGAACTTGCTCTGTGAAGTTGTTCAGGAGAATACAGTATTCACAACTCCAGATGGTTCTACAGGGAAACTTGGCTGGGGAGTCAGGCAGAGATCCAGGAGAGAATGATGGAAGACTGCAAGCACTCCTTCTGCCATTTTTCCAAAGCCACTTCTCAGCCCAGAACCTGGAGACCCTCCCTGGCACCTCTGCCTTTCCCTTCTCTGCTCATACCCCAGGGATGGACTAGTTTTGGCAAAATGATGCTCAAGTGATCCTGAGCATAAGTAATGCAAAAGAATTCTCCTCAAGACTGATTATAGAAATGCCAATTCCTCCTTTGTTGAAACATTGGTTGTAAGATTTTTGTCCTTCCTACATGTAAATTCTGGCTTTAATCAAATAACCCAAGCTAGAATAGTGTCTAGCCCTTCTCTGGGAATCTGTTGAACTCCACATCTCCAAAAGCCTCAGCTTTATAAATATTCAGGGGATGTACAATATACACATATGTGACCATGTTTGTTTTATGATTTAGACTCTCCTTTAAATCTGCTTTAAATCCTGGTGTACTATGCTGAGAGGGAGAAAAGAAAAGCTTCACTATTGCATAGATTACTTTAAGTGACAACAGAGCTTCTCTTCCAGAGGAAACTATATTTCCCATATATGGTTATGTTTTATGGAATAGCAATAGCCACAGTTATTCCCCATACAGTGTTTTCAAAGGGAATTTCACCAAAATAGACCTTTTTATATGGTAATGGGAACTTCAATGCCCTCTCAGTCTAATTCCATTTAATTCTATGTTCTCAACTCTAATTTTTACAGTTAGAAAAATAAATGTTATGGATTCTGTTTTCTTTTCTTTCCTTTTTTTTTTTGGAGGGTAGGAAAATGGGTAAGATTTACATTTTCAAGGTAGATGCTTCTTTTTCTTCAACAAGATGCCCTGGATTTTCCTGCCACAGCAAAATGACCCTGCAGTTATTATGAGACTCTCCCATCAGTCAATGCTCCAGGTACATATACTTCTTTCTCACTGAGCAAGGCTCTCAGTTTTACTTTTCTCTGAATGGATTCCCTTTCCTGTGTTGAACTTAAAAGTACTAAGCTTAGTATTGCATCTTCAGGTACCAACCAGGTCACCTCTGTTCATGGGTTATACTCCACTCCCCCAGTACACGTAGCAAATAGAGATCTGGAAGCCAGGTGGTAGTGGCTACATATTTTAATTTGTTCTACTAATGACCGATAGTTATGAATTCTTGCCATGTGTCAAATGCTTTATGCCCACTGCCTCATCGCTTTATCACAATTCTCTCCAACACTATGCAATAGATACCTTACCCCTCATTACAGATGGAGATAAATTGAAACCTCAAAGCCTTAAGTAACTCGTTCAGGATAGTCAGGTGAGTAGCAGGGAAGAGAGTCAAGTCCAGGTGAGCTTACCTCAGGGACTGGACCCCTAACTGCTGTCTTGTGCCGCTTTCCTCGTCTGCTCTCTTCTTCTCTATTCCCTGTCAACTGACCTTCACGACAGCAGTTTTCTTCTGATTTGTTCACTGGAATATTCCAAGGGCCTGGAGTAGGGTCTGGCATGAAGTTAACACACAATGCATGTTTTAGGAAGGGGTTCTTGAATTCAATTTTTTAGAATTTTAAAGTATTTGATTGCAAAATAAGGATTGTATATCTTTAATATGATTTGATTTTAATATGATTTGATTCAATATATAGACACATTGTATAATAATGACCACAACCAAATTAATTTACGTATCCATCAGCACCAGTGCTGCACACTAGATCCCCAGAACTTACCCTTTGGCTGATGTCTCCCCATGTCTGTTGAATGAATAAATCATTTTGTCCTTTTTGTTGTTGTTGTTCACTTATTCATGTGTTTGCTCACTAAACAGATGTCTATGGGGCCTCTAAAGCAAGGCCTTATCCTACACATGAGGGATAGAATAATGAACACAACAAACCCCTGCCATGAAGAAGAGTACATTCTTGGGGGAGAAGACAGACTAATACATGTGGGGGCGGGGAGGAGGTGGTGGGCCACACAGAGGACTTGAGCTTTTACAGAGTGAGATGGGAAACTAACAGAGGGTTTTGAACAGAAAGCGGATGGGATTTACTTCCATCCTAAACCGCAGTGGAGAGCAGGGGTGGCAGCAGATAGAGCCGTCTGGGGTTCTGACAAGAATCTGGGTTAGAGGAGATGGGGATCAGATCAAGATAGTAGCAGTGGGAATGATGAGAAACACCCAGTTATAAATATCTTTCAAGGGTGATCTGATTTGCTGATGGGGTGAATATGGGTTTGTAATAATGAGAGGAATAGCCCTAAGGTTTTGGGTATTGAGCAGGCTGCAGAAGGAGGGGACGTGGGATTGGAGGGGAATCAAGGGTCTAGGTTTTGAACATGTGTTTCATCATCTAGAAGTATATTCTGTGGTAAGAATACTCAATCATGATTTCATAAGACAACAATTTCAGGGGCCTAAAAATCCAGGCACCTTCAGGGTGCGCCAAGCAGGGCACACCTAACCATGTGACTTAGCCAACTGTAAACCAACACAGTAGTGGTGAGAGTCTGAACTGCAGGGCTTATGCGTGACCCACAGGGTTGTTGTGCTGGCTAGCATTCCCCTTGACCTTAAATTGGTGACCCCTACAAAATAAAACCAGCAATACTGGCTTTTATCCACATCATACTTAGTTAATGCTTAACACCTACCTCTGCTTTCTGCTTCCCTGAGCATGTAGCTGAATTTTATAGGCAGAGACTGTACACTGTGCCTCATTTGTCAATGCATTATTTGTGCAACAAATAATTATTAAACCTCACTCTGTTGTCAATTCTATACAAGATGTGATAGCAAATCTACAATGTCAAATAACATTTACAATTATGTTAGTGCCTCACATATTCAGAGATAACCCTTCTGAATCTCAGCTACAAAAACAAAACATAAAGGAACCTAAGGGATTCTGAGTAGTTAAAATATGTGTTTGAAGTTTGACGTTCCAACATCAAAGTTCTTAATCCACTAGATTTTTCCAGGACTCTTTTTCTTATATTATACATACTTTTAACACACCTGCATATCCAGTCCTAAACAGCTAAATCAGAATAAGTTGGCAGAGGGAAGGAAGGAGACAAGTGCTGATACAGGTGGGCACGCTGAGAAGAGTTATATATAACAAAGACCGTATCACCTGGAGACAGCAAAATTTAAAAGAATAAAGTAAACACAAGAATTACTTTTAATATGACATCCTGAGGAAACTTCATGATTTCCTGTATAGACAGGAAACTGGCCAGAGCTTAATAAACCTCAAGGCTTCACTATTTTAAAGACTAGCCTAGTGTTTTAACTTCAACTCATACTTTGCTTTAAAAGACAGGAAAATGTACAGACTATTTTAAAAGTTTCCCTGAAAATGAGTTCAATGTACACATTTTTTCCAGATGTTTGGAAAATTCACCAAAGTGAGCTATCTCATTCTCCAATAATATCAGCTATCTCCTCTGATTCTGTACTCTCATCTATGTGCCACATTTATGGTTAACAGATGCTAAAAACACACCATCAGACATGCCTTCCTGTTGACAGAAACTACCTGAGACCCTCTCTCATGGCTCACCCTCCCCCCCTCATCTGTATCCAGAGTCTAGCAGTTCTGCCCCAACTGCTGTGGACAGCCCTTGACTGCTCACATGTTGGGCCTGATGAGAGAATCCAAATTCCCTGGTCCTGCCTCAGGATTCCCGGGGATGTGGCTGCATTTGTGCACCTCAGGAACTCAGACTTTCTCAGTGGGCTGTGATCTGGGAGCCCAACTGGCTTTGGCACCAACTTGGCTTGCACTTGGATAGGACCCATTGGATCCCTGCAGGACTGATCTTAAATTCAACATGCACTGAAAACACCTTTCAAGTATGAAAAGGACACAACCATCAAACCATGAGAAGAGAGGCAAATGGAGTTCTTCCTGAGTAAGTGGTTTTCTTTTCAGAAGTAGTTTAATCATAGAATCATAGGTCTTAGGCTTAAGAATATCCTTCAAGTTTGCCATTTGATTATCACCTACAAAGCTACCAGAATCTCCCAATTCACCTTAGTCTCTTATTTTCAGAAGCATTCATTTACAAACCAGATAACTAGGATAAGATATTCAGTGAACAGCTGTGATGAGAGACCAATGCTAAAGGGTTAAAATAAGGATAAAACCAAAGACCTTGTCCTGTTTAGAGTAGAAGAACAGCTAGCCAGCCTCAACTAGAGAAGCTGACCGCTGAAAGTTAACTGAACAGAGTAAGGCCATCCCCTTTCTTTCATAGAAAATACAGTTTTAATATTCAGTTACAGGTAGTGTAGGAATCATTTCCTATTGTCTGAGTAGGTAGAGTCACTACTACAAAGTAGGTATAATGAGATAGAGTATGAAGCTTTGATAGATTTTATAAATTTCTAATGTTAATTTTTGTCCAAGGTAAAAGTAAATTGAGCTCTCATTATTTGCATTATTTATGTATTGTTTAGCTTAAGAGTAATTATAGTTAACCATATTTGTACACCAACAATAAAAAATCCTTACACCAAAAAAATGCATTTCTACAAACAAGTCACATGTATCCTCTTGTCTAAAGGTAAATAAAGTGGCATGCCCCCCACCCCAGTGTTCATAAATTACCCTTTTATTGGAAACTTTCTCTTATTTTTAGTTGCCATATGGAAAAATTGAATCCTGCAGGCCAAAAGTGAATAACAGCATTATGACAGTCATGACAACTCTAAGAGTGTTGGGAACACACAGAAACACATATAAACACACTTACCAAATGTATGCATGCACACACATACACCTGAGCAGTTTTAAAGGGGATGCCTATGTAGCTAGGTCTTTCCTCTCACACTTACTCCTCATTTTTTCCTATCCACTGAATGTGAAGGTAGCATGGTCAGCTCTGCTTGAGTAATAGTGTGACTCTGAATTCACCATATCCAAAACTCCCTCAACCAATAACTTTTGACACTGCATGGTTTGAACTTGCATTTTTCAGGCTCCTAAACTATAACATCTTTCCACTACAACTCACTAATATAAAGTCATAAAATTTTCCAACTAGGGTAATAACAATAAAGGGCAGAATGCACTTTTAAAGCCAGGAGGTGGGTATTTTGGTTTGAGCCTCACCATTTATACCACTGCAACTGGGGTCCCAGGCCTCTGTTTCTATACTTATAACATCAAGGCTGTCACTAAACAGTGTCTGTGAAATGAGTCTATTCTATTACCTCTGGGTAGAAATGGGGGCTTCTAGAACTTTCCATATCTCCTCCCATTGGGCCCCCAGCTCAGGTCCCTTCAGGTCATATTAACTTCTTAAGCCTCTCAATTTCAGACTCCCCAGCTTATTACTTACCTTCTGGTCTTCACCTAAGTAGTGATCTTTCTTTGAACAAAAAGCCTTCTTTGATATGGTGGCCTGTGTGGCTGGGGGTGATCAAAGGAAGCCCATGACTGCTGAGCCTTGACCTCACCACCAAGAGGGGCTCAAGTGACAGCCAGAGAGACAGCCTCAGAGCCTGGTTGGCAACTCTGCCTCCCTCTTGTGGTGGCCTCCTACAGTCTGAGCTGTGCCTAGCCACTGTTCCCTAAAGTCACAGTGTCCAAGAGTATGGGCCTCTTTCATTTAGTTATGTCTCTTGCAGTCTTCTATAAAATCCCCTTCTTTGATGAAAAGAAGGTAGAGTTTTACTTGTGTCCTCTTCCCTTTTAGGGTATTTTTTTCCTCTGTATGAAAGCATATGACAAATACTTCTAGGTATGTATAACTGCGTGTGTTAGTCAGCTTTTTCACTGCTGTGACTAAAGGACCCAACCAGCACAGTTGTAGAGGAGAAAAGGTTTATCTAGGGGTTCATGGTTCAGAGGTCTTAGTCCATAGAAGTCTGGCTCCATTCCTGGGGGGCTCAAGGTGAGGCAGACATCATGGCAGAAGAGTGTGGCAGAGGGAAGCAGCTCACACCATGATCAGTAAGCAGGGAGAGAGTAATCTCCACTTGCCAGAAACAAATACATACCCCAAAGCCATGTCCCCTAATTCCTACCTTCTCCAGCCACACCCTACCACTTCAGATAATCCCCTCAGGGGGTTAATTTAATTCACTGATTGGGTTAAGACTCTCACAACCCAATCATTTCTCCTTTGAACCTTCTTGCATTGTCTCACATGTGAGCTTTTGGGGGATACCATATATCCAAACTATAACATTATGTGCCTGGCCCCCAAAAGTTCACACTCATCTGACAATTCAAAATATATTTAGTCATTCCCAAAAGTCCCCATAGTCTCAACAGTTCTGAGATTGCTCAAAGTTTGAGTCCAAAATCTTCTCTGAGACTCAAGGCAATCTTGCATTGTGAGCTCCTGTAAAATTAAAAGTGATTTACAAGTATCCAATATATAATGATACAAAGTAAATATTTCCATTCACAAAATTAGGGGCAGAGAAAGAAGGGATAGGAACAAAGCAGGACTGAAATCCAGCTAGGCAAACAAGTCCTGTGGCTC